TCACATGGGTCAGCAGAGTGGTGAAACAGCTGGAGAACCTGTTTGAAGGAGCCCCCCATGTTTTTCTGAGATTAGATGAAGACGTGACTCAGTTTCTAAGCATGGCTGTAGGGAAGAGGTTGGCAGCAGTTCTGCAGGACAGCACTGATGGAGAAAGGGCTTGGCCATGACAAATTCAAGCTGTGCTGGCAAGAGGGAAATAATATGCAAGGCAAGTGTCATGCAAAGCTTGAGGCTGGGTACTCAGTGGAACTCGAGAAATAGCCAAACATTCAACCAGCCCACATAAAACAAGATTGGATCCATTTTGAATGCCGAGTTTCAAATTAGTGACAAACACTGTTACAGGTATTAGCACAGGGCCTGCACAGCATGGGATGTTAACTTGATCAAAACTCCTTCCCTTGAGTTTGGGCACTTGAGACTGGTTCTGGTGTTGGTCCTGGCACCTTGCAGTAGCATTCCCAGCAGACTAGAGGCTAACAATAGTTTCGTAGCTTTTTCAGCTATATTATTTTAAGATGGGGTGGGTGGCTTCTTGCTCTCATGTAAACAGAAATTGTTATCTCCAGGTTTTCATGATACTCTCCCCTATGGTGGCTCATGCTTCTCTGGCCTAAACAGTCCTAGGTTTTGGGTCCTAGGGTCAATGCCTGAACTGGAGAACTGGAGAAAAGCACTAGGGTTTCTGCTGCCTGGCAGCCCCTTTCCTTCTGACCAGGTTCCTAGTGGACACAAGAAAGGTCGCAAGAGAGCTCTCTGCCAGTGCCTGCTATCCCACAGAGAACAGACTCCCAGGAGTGGGGCACAGCTGCTGAGTGGTGCATTTGTGGAGCAGGTGAGTTTGGTGGGGAGGTTGTGTTTCTTACACAAGATGAGGCTGAGACCCAAGACAAGCACTGGGCAGGCAGTGCTGCTAGAAGCCCTTTTGCCCAGTGGTCTGGTAACCCAGCCTACCTGCTTCAGAGCACTCCTCAAAGCTGGGGGATATTCCAGGAGTAAAAGCCAACGTAGTCCTCCAGAGATGTGTTACATGTGATTGCTTTGCCAATAGCACTTCTCACCCTGCACGCTTGCATGTGCAGGGACATGTCCCACCAGCCACAGACCAATGACCTTGATCTGTCCCCCTGGAGAGGGGGAACTGGGGACAGCTCGCATGTAAGCCATACAAATATCCCCATTCAAGTCAGCAGGGACTTACTACCATGTGTCCCTCTGCACCTCTGGCCAGGAGAGCCGCCAGGAAGCATCCACAGGCATGAATTGCCCTTGGTGGAGCAGCAGGAGTGATGAGCACGTACTGGGCAGTCAGAGAAGGGTGTCCTGAAGCACAGAAGCGGAAGAGAGCAGCGAAAGAAAAGGCCACCCATCAGTATGGGGCTGCAGGGAGAAGGACAGCAGGTCTGTGGTGCACATCAAGCACCTTCCTCAACTGCCTCCAATGCCTGGAGAAAGGGACTGAGCCAAGGGCTGCTCTGGCTCCTCTTTGTATGTGCCAGGACTTCAGAAAAAACATAGCTGAATCAAGGAAACAGAGGTATCTGCGGGAAGAAGGAATTGTTTTCTGTGTCAGTGTTGACTCCTTCAAGAACTTCTGTCCCAAGGTTTGTGTGTAGGTGGAAAAAAACTGAGGTTGGTTATTTGCTCTGTCAGCCACCTGGGCCATTATCACATACTTAGAAGACATCAGGAGCGAGATAAGATCCCCTTTGACTGCCACATATGGCATGTTGGGATGCAGCTCAGAGCAAAATTCCTAGGTACTCTTGGAGGCTTGATCCTTTCTCTTCCTCTTTGTTCAGACCTTCACAGAAAGCACTAGTTTTTTTCCAGCTCTGGCCTCACTTGTTATAGGGCAGTGGTGGGAACATTCCAGCATTTAAAACCCTGGTCACAGAAATGTGAGGATGGGTTCTGCCACTTCTCAGTGACAAGGGATAGTGAGCCCCTCAGCCCCACCAGTCAAACCAAGCTCCAGGGCCTTTTCATTTACTGGAGATAAAGGAAGAGCTCTAGTCTCTCCAAACAATCATTCTTCAAGTAAATCAAGAAACAATTTAAAAAAAAAAAAAAAAGACCCATAGAAATACGATGGTAAGAAATTAGTCATTGTGGTTAAATTGTTCAAATTGCACATTCATTCAAAAATGGGCCATATGAGAAAGTAAAAGGTCCTCTCTTCAGCCAGACTTGGAAAGCGATTTCAATAGTCATCTCTAGGGTCACATGAAGCCCATTCCTATTGCTGCCATAATTCCACCAGCAGTATTTCATGCAAAACAGACCAAAAATCTCAAGAAAATCAGTCTATGCAATTTGGATCTTCTCAGTGAGATACAGCTATGAAAAAAAGCACACATTCAAATGGAAAAAGAATGGATTATTTGAAATCTCAGTTGATACCCGCTTTATTTTAAGCATGTAAACAGTGAATATGAAGAGGAATACCTGGTATTTCCTTCTGGAACTAAAAACATAACATTGGAGGGGTAGAAGAAGTAAAGTTCTCTCCTTCCTTTGATGATTTCTTAAAAATATTTAGTGTTTTTCATTTAAAAGAGCAAAATTAATGCCTAAAGTTAGAGAAGTAACTGCTTATTAAAGAGATTTTGACTTTAGAGGTATATCAAGTCTGACTTCTACAAATGCTTCTACTCTTCACTGAGCTTTTCAAGCTGTCATGATGTTGGAAAGCTTGTCATGTAGCTCTGATGAATTATTTGGTTATAAGAAGGTCGAGGACCAAAACTCCGTGGAAAAAGTAATTAGAACAAATGCTGCATAGAAAACAGTTGTATTTTGCTGTATTTGTGCAGGGCATATTTTAAGAGCAGGTGATAACACCGGAGAGAAGCTTTTTCCCTGTCAATTTTGGCATGTATGGCATGCAGCAACAGCCTGGTTTCACAGGACTCACTCTGCCAAATCCATGGAGTCTGGTATTGACTTTGCTGAGTAAATATTTTTGAAGGCCTTTGCAGTGCCTGCTTAAGCAATTCCCTGCTATGGTTCTGCAAAAATGCCCCTGCTTTTCAAGAAGCAGAAACAAATTTCCACAGTAGCACTGCAAATATTAACACACTGCTCATGCCCCTCATTTTGTACCATCAAATGCTGGGAACTGGAAGCATGTGAGCCATAGTGAAGCAAAGCATGCGAGTCAGCATTATTTGCTTAATTTCCATGTGCTAAACAAGAAACAGCCAGTTCCTGGCAAAGGAATTAATTGTTTGACAATACAGCGGGTGAGAAGGGCAGGCTGACCACTGTCGGAGCAAACTCTGGGCATAAAAGTCGAGCAGGTACCACTCAGGGCTAGTACTCTGGTGGCATATAGTGCTGTTCTGGAAACATTTCTGGTTGGACCTTTATCTTTTCTTCAGATAAAAGCACGTAAATGGGAAGGGAGGCTATTAAATCAGGTTGAGGAGGCCTGAACTGAGCTCCTGTCTCTGACTTTCTCTGTGACCTTAGGAAAGCCACTTAACTCTCACTCACAAAGCAAAGATGATAGTTTATGTCTCCCTGTGGTGTTACAAAGCAGAATCAACCACAAACCTCACAACTTTACATTTGGCTGTGACAGGCAGGACACGAAAGTACCTAAATGAGAAAGGAATTAAGTAATAAATGCAGTGGTTAAAACACAGGGTGGAGAAGTGAGTCTGCTGGAAGTTGCTGGGCCAGGAATGCCCTAAATGCTCTTGAAATACCCCAATTCCTCTCCAGTGCACAGGGAGTGGTGCTCTTCTCACTGGGGCAACGTTGAGAGTTGGAGCTCCCCAGTCCATGGAGGGCCCTCAAAGTGTCTTTCTGCTGAATTCCAGAAAAAGGGCAGCTGAGCTACTCAAGGCACATGAGCAAGAGATACCTTGGAGAGGAAGCAAAAGAAAAGGATCAGGAAGTCCATTCACTGCACTTCTTTTCCTCCTCAGCTACAGTTTCTGGGTGCATCTGGGCTGCTTTTTTGGAGCAGCACAGCACCTGGATGTCGGCAGTACATGAGAGGCATGGACATACTCGAAAGAGTCCAGCAAGGGGTTGATGATGATGAAGGGACTGGAGCATCTCTGATCAGAGGAGAGGCTGAGAGAGCAGAGACTGTTCAGCCTGGACAAGAGAAGGCTCAGGCAGGGGGAGATTATAGGTGTACTGGTAAGTACTGATGGGGAGGAATGAAGGACAAGAGGTGATGAACACAAGCTGAAATCCCATCCAAACCCGAGAAAATACTTGTGTGTGTACATGTAGTGTATGTGTATTGTGTGTATGTGCTTGTATATGCGTCCCGTGTGTTTGTGCTTGTATAGGTGTGCCAGGTGTAGGAGCAGGGGTGTGAGTGTTGTACGTTTTGTGTTGCGAGTGTGGTTGTATGTTGTGTGCACAGTGCATGTTTCATGTGTACTCAGTGTGTGTGTGGGGTGATAATCCAGAGCTGTGTATGGCCTCAGCCAGGACTCAGTCCCACAGGGGCACCAAGGGGGCCCCGAAGCGGCTTCAGCCAAGGAGAGTCTACAGATGGGGTCAGAGGTGTGTGGGAGAGGGGACTGTGGGGCACTTGATGATTTATGGGGCAGACGTGGGGGAAGTTGGGGGTACCCAGGGGGTTATGAGGCACATGGGAGGCTCTGGGACCCTGTGGGAGCTATGGTACATCCAGAAAAGCAATGTGACACCTGAAGGGTAAGGATACTGAGGGAGAGAGCTGGGTGCACACCTAGGAGATCAGGGGGACCCTGGGCTGGGGGATTGGGGGTGGTTATGGGACACCTATAGGAGTTGTGGAATACCCAAGAAAGGAAGAGAGGGCACAAGAAAGATCAGACACCCTAGGGGTCTGTGGGACACCCATGAGGCTGGGAAAACCCAGGGGTTTAGAAGGCACATGGGGGGCTAGGTCCACCTTGGACAGGGCTGGGGGCACCCAAGGGGCTTAGGGGCAACCAGAGAGGGGTGAGATCGCAGTATTCCTCCAGAAGCTGATGCTGGAACCCAGGCCTGTGACACCTCCTTTATTTCAGGCATTTAATGGAGCCTCCAGCAGGAAGGAGAATCCGTATCCCCCACCTACAGCCCCTGCGCGGCCAGCCTCACTGCGGGGGCGCGTAGGTGCCGGCGAGGTGCACGGGCAGCCCGTCGCGGCAGGAGACCCGCACGTGGTGCTGGAGTTGGCGGGCGCGGTAGGCACAGGGGGTGCGGGTGTCCCCGCCCCGCAGGCGGCAGGTTGTTATGCCCATGGCTGTGGGGGTGCTCTGGAACCCCGACTCGTCAGGCGCCTGGGAGCAGGCAGCCACCAGATCCCGGGCCGGCGCGTGCACGAAGGTGTTGGAGGGCTTGCAGGGCCTCCCCTGGGCCGTCACCCGCCGCCGCGCCAGCATGGTCTCGCAGTAGCGGTGCGCCGCCAGCGTGGATGTCCGCGGGTAGTCCACGTGCTGCCGCAGGAACTTCTCGTAGCGGGTCTCGCCCTCCGCCCCTGCCAGTGCCGCCAGCACCAGGGTCACGCACAGCACCCAGCCTGCCATGGACACCTGTGGAGAAGCGGGGTTAGGGCCATCCGGACTTCTGGTCCCCCAGCTGGAAACCCCACCCTGGATGCTTGATTTCTCGACAAATTCCCCCTCCCAAACACCCGGGTCCCTTGCAAATCCCCTCTAAATGCATGGGGACCCACCCCATGACAAATGGGCCACCTCTGTGTCTCACCTGGATGCCTGGATTCCCTATAGGACACCCCATGGACACCTGAGTTATGCACTCCCCAGAAGCCCCAGTCCCCTACAGAACTACCTGCTCCTCAGACCCCTGGGTCCCCTATGGATGGGGTCCCTGCCCCAACACCCAAATCCCACACACAGCCTCCCTCCCCCACCGAATGCTTGGGCTCCTCACAGCCCCCTCCCACAGACATTCCCCTACACATCCCTCACCCCCACCTGTGTGTGCGCCTCAGTTTCCCTTTTGGCCTCAGGATCTCCGGGATCCCTCCCACTCCTCTGCACGTCTTTTATACCGGCCCCAGCTGGGCCCAATGGGCAAGGATCCAGGAGGAGGGGCAGAAGAGCAAAGAGCAAGGTCCAGTGGACATCTGGGAAGAGACAGGTGTCCAGGAGGCCCCACTCACCCTCTTGGCCCCCCCCCAAGGTCATTAGGTAGTTATTAACGAACCACGTGACTGTCTGTGCACATCCCCTTGGAGTCCCCTGCCCATGTTGCCTTGGATCATGCATTCTGGCCTTGGCCACCTGTGCCAGGAGAGGCAGGACACCGAAGCCCCTTTGGGTGGCAGGGAAAGATACCTAAATCCCTGATGGGGGCAGGATGTCAGCATCACCTCAAGCACAGCTGACAGATGCTCCTGCTCGTCTTGGAAGATGTGGCACATCTACGGCTGTCTTGCAGTGCTTCAGGAGCTATGTGTCCCTTTCCCCTGTGTCCCCTTGTGGGCAAGTTCATACCCCTGGGAAGTGCATTTTGCCTCACTGCTACCTCATATGCTCCCAGATACTCCACTGAGGCACAGAATAGCAAAGAATCAGGAGCCAGCCTGAGCCCACCAAAGACCCATCCCTTTGCCTTCCCCATCCTGATGGACTGCCAAGGAAAGCATGTCCCCACCAGGGGGAGAGGCATGCAGTGCCCAGGAGAGGCTGTCACAACTGGATACAAGTGGTATCCATCCTCCTCTCCAAAGACATGATAGAGACTGTGATGGGAAGTGGTAAATGAGACAAAGTGCACAGGAGGCCTCAGTTGCCCTTCTCCTCCATGAGCAGCCAAGTTCTGAGCCCACCAGTGATTCAAGGAGGACAAGGAGTGGGCCTCAGAACCACGGACAGCTGAGAGATGCACCTTCTGAGTGTGTGTCATCATGTCACCTGACCTACTCGTACCCCAGGACAGCACAGAGCTGCCCCCCTGTCTGTCCCAGGCCCACCATGTCTCATCACAACCCCCCCGGACATCCTCTGCTTTCCACTGTCCTGGCACAGGTGGAAAAGGGATGATGCCTGCAGGAGGAGGAACAAGCCTGGATGTCTGGCAATGGGCTGTCTCTAGCTGGCATGGCATGGGTACCTGTGTTGGAGCCTATTCTACCCAGCAGACCCTCAAGTGTATCCTTTCCAGAGGTCGCTGTGATGCCTTTTCATGAACCACATGTGGCCATGTGGTTCTTTCTTGTCCCTGGGAGTCCCAACTGCCTGGCGCTGTCCTGGGCACTGCATCTCCCTCTTTCATCCCTGCCCACCATCCCAGGTGGGCTAGTCGGAGCCTCCTGCTGCCCTGTGGCGAGAGGAGCCATCAGCCGAGGCACTTGGGGCAGCCCAGACCAGCAACTTCTGGTTGTTCCCTCTGTGCCCCATGGCATGGGAATGTTGCCGATTCTGGGAGCTCTCTAAACACAGACACAGAGACTAGTTTAGAAAGGAGACACTGCTTATTCTGCGCAGGGTGCCAGGTGAAGGTTTCCGCATATCAAGCACACCATGGGGTAAAAAGTTACATCTTTTATACAGTAAAGTTTACACGAACCGCCTACCTAATGCATATTTATTTGTATGACGTAACCTTACACAACGCTTAAAACACAAAAGCTCTTTTCTTTATTAAGAAACTTCTACTGTAGAAGTTCTCCAACGACACCAGTTACGTTTACAAAAGGCGAGAAGACTCAGCCTGGGGACAGATAATTCAGCTTGAAGGCACCAGGAAGGAAACGTAACTGATGGGCATTCGCTAGGCGGAGAATACGTATTAGATAGGCGGGTTCAGGTAAACTTTACTGTATAAAAGATGCACCTTTTTACCCCGCGGCACCTACCTTTCTCCCGGGCAGAGCCTGCGCAGCGAGTCCCGTCCCTGTGGCTCTCGGGTTCCCGATCCCCGGGATCGCGGTGCGGGCGCTCCGCGGGGCGCAGGGTGCGGCTGGGCCGGGCGGGGGCGCTCACGGGCACGGCCGCTCCGAGGCGCTCCCCCCGCCCCCCCCGCGCCGTTGGTTCCGTCCGGCCGTGGTACGGCCCGGGAGAGGGCGGTGCCCCTCTCCCTCGGCCCCTCCCGGCGCGAAGCGGCCCCGCGCTCGCGGGTCTCGCGCGAGCGGCGGTCTCGTAAAATCTCGCGAGAGCGGGCGCCCCGCCCTTTCGCGGCGCGCGCGGCACCATGGCGGTCGGCAAGAACAAGCGCCTCACTAAGGGCGGCAAGAAGGGCGCCAAGAAGAAAGTGTGAGCGCGTCAGGGCGGCCGGGCCGCGGGCGGGCGGTGCCCCGGGGCGCCGGGGGAGGCGCCGCGGCGGCGGGATGCCGGCGATGCGCGGCGGATGGCGGCGGCGGCCCAGCCGGAGCGGGCGCCGGGCTGTCATGGCGGCGGCCGGGCGGGCCTGGGCCTGGAGGGGCGGCGTGTGGGCAGGGAGGCTTTACTGAAGCCCGGCGTGGCCCGAGAAAGTCGTTTAAAAGAAAACTTTTTCCTTCATTCGCTTTAAGGGTCGATCCTTTCTCCAAGAAGGACTGGTATGATGTCAAAGCACCTGCGATGTTTAATATCCGAAACATCGGGAAGACGCTTGTCACCAGGACCCAAGGAACTAGTGAGTAGTTGGGGTTCCTACGGTGGAGGGCCATGCGTCTGCTCCGTGCGCTGGCTCCAGGCGGCACTCGGTTAAAGAAATGCTGACAAGTGGATTTTGCTCGTAGTAATATGAACCTGGAATTAAAAAAAGAACAGGCACTTGTGGCTCAGTTGGGTGATTTGAGTGAGTTTTCTTGAGTTGGGCAAGTTGTTTAAATAAATGAGCTTAGTTGCAGGGTGGGGTTCTTGTTTGTACAAGAAACCAAACCATGGAAGGATAGGATAGGCCTGAAGTTTCTCATGAGCTGCTGTGGTGGTAGGCTGGTGAGTTGGAGGAAAGAATTAAGGAGTTATTCTGACTGTCACAGGGGGAGATGTGGGACAGTGCCACGGGAGATCTTGGTCATAACAGGAACGTAACGACCAGCATGCCAAGGGACTAAAATTTAAACCTTTTGGGTAAAGGTGTCTTGTCTCTGTTGAGAGCTGGAATTGCTGATTTAACGTGAGTGCGTGTAAGTGTATCACTGAGTGGTAAAGATGTTTTTATAGGATCTGGCACACCTTGGGAAAAGGAGACCTCTGTTAGGGATGGAGGGGATCTGGATGGGGATATCGGTATTTTAGGAAGCCTAGCTATGCAGAATGGCTAAATAGTTATTCTATACTAAAGTTATAAAGATGATCATTACTTCGAACTGTAACACGCGAAACAAGTAAAATAAGGGTCACTGTAAACCAAACGTGAATCAACCCGTGTTGAAATGGTTGTTGGAGGGGGAGCTGTGAAATGACTGGGCTGTTGACTGTTGCTTCATCTCTGCTGTGGCAGTTTTGCTTTTCTTTGTGGTTTGTAATTTCCAATATTCCAGAACCCACTCCACTGAAAACCACTCAGAGTATTACACGTGGTGGAATCCGTGGCGTGCTGGTGTTCATGTCCCACATCTGATACAGTCACCTAGAAATATTCCTTCCAGAGTTGACAAAACCTGCTGTTTGGCTCTGTGAGTGGATTTGATCTGGCTCAAGACACAAATGAACTGCAGCACTGCAAGGCCCTGGCATTGCATCCCCAGTGGTTGGGCTCCATCTTGGAGGCCTTTCCAGCCTTTGTGATTCTGTGATCACCACCATGAGAAAACATCCAGTGGGAATTCGGTGTCTGATTTGAGCAGTGCGCTCCTAATGTTGATAAAAGGTGTTTCATTTTGTTCCATCACACAGAAATTGCCTCTGATGGGCTGAAGGGCCGTGTGTTCGAAGTGAGTCTGGCTGACCTGCAGAACGACGAGGTTGCCTTCCGCAAATTCAAACTGATCACTGAGGACGTTCAGGGCAAGAATTGTCTGACCAACTTCCATGGAATGGACCTCACCCGGGACAAAATGTGCTCCATGGTCAAAAAATGGCAGGTGTGTAAACGACAAGGTCTGTGTTGCTGCCGGAGCCTTTAGGAAGAGGGGGAAGCACTGGAGCATTGCGATGCTGTGTTTGGGGTGGCTGCGGCGGGTGTTGATGATGTAGGGTTTGGGGGTTGGGGAACCTCTCTGTCATGGGGGGGGGTGTAAATGGCTCTTTCTTTTCCAGACAATGATTGAAGCCCACGTCGATGTCAAGACCACGGATGGTTACCTGCTGCGCCTCTTCTGCGTGGGCTTCACCAAGAAGCGCAATAACCAGATCCGCAAGACCTCCTATGCCCAGCATCAGCAGGTCCGGCAGATCCGCAGGAAAATGATGGAAATCATGACCCGGGAGGTGCAGACCAATGACCTGAAGGAAGTTGTCAATAAGCTGTAAGCTCTGGCTGTGTTTTATTTTTCTCCCCTGTAGTTTCAGTGGTTGGTTGGTGCTGAGAACTTGGAGAATGGTGGTGCTTCACATGCCATTTGGCAGAGACCAGAACATGCCCTTCATGTTGGAAAGCCAGAGGTCGTTTTCTGCAGATAGCTTCTCTTGGTCTCTGCATCCTGTTTGACTTGTACCCACTGTCACATTTGCATAAATGTTAAATTGTGCAGATTTTGCAGAGGATTTCTGGTTCTGCAGACTGAAGTTGTAATTCTCATCAGCCGGGGCTGTGAGTGTTCTGGGTTCTTCTGATAGAAGAAAGTTTTCCTAAGTGTGATGTTTGCTTCCAAAAGTTTGATTGGAGATTTGCTCTCAAAATGGGTCTTGCCCTATGCTCCTTCTAACACTGCAGGGGAAATGTCTTAGAATCTAAACGTACTTGAAGAAAAATGTTCACATTAATAATGTGAACTTCTGTAGGTTATTTTGTACTCTTAAAGATTTTTTTTTTTAAACCTGTGTTGCTGATGAAGAAGCAGGCAGAGTTTATAACGTTGTGGCACCATGGTGCTCTGTGGTTTCTCAGGATCCCAGACAGCATTGGCAAGGACATCGAGAAGGCCTGTCAGTCCATTTACCCTCTGCACGACGTCTACGTCCGCAAGGTTAAGATGCTGAAGAAGCCCAAGTTTGAATGTAAGTCGGTTACTGCAG